CGCCAGTCACCGCCCGCTCGCGGGCTCTTTGCCCGACCTCCTCGATTCTTTGCGCGTCCTTAGAGGCTCCTCCTCGGATTCGGTCTCAGACTCTTCGACCTGGACCTGTTTTCTTCTTGGACCTTTGGGCCGGAGCCTTCCGTCTGGGGCGAGCAGAAGGTGCCCGAGCGACCTGTTCTATCCTGGTCGCTCTTAGCAGGGCGGGGCTGCGAAGGCGCAGAAGCTCGCAGCGGTTGTGCCGGAATAGCACGGGCCGCTTCGGCCGCCCTCTCACTCCTCAATCGAGGAAACAAATGGTGCTCGGCGGGACTGCCCGGACTCCTTTGGGGGCATGGTCTCTGTATTTAAGCTCGTCGGTAAGGGAATTTATTCTACGACCAGAAAGGGGTCAGCATAACTTCCTTCTAGGGTTCTAAACGACGCTTGTCGGTGAAAAAATCGTACTTCCGCAGGTTCGCGGTTGTCACAAGCTTCCCGCGTCCCGTTGTTCCTCGTCAATACACCGAAAGTACGAGCCTGTTTGGGTCGGCAAGTAAGTCTTGGCTGGTCGTTCTATTAACTGCAAAAGAAACAGGTCGTTACTAATGATGTGCGAGCAGAAACGAACCAGCGAAAGGAAAACTACTTGGATCCTGAAAATGGCAGTGACCGTTATAAAAGAAAAAAAAACTTTGTCTCGTGAGGCCCCGCATTGCTGGGATAGCTGGTATCCCCGCGGTAATGGTAGGTCGCCGAGACAAATAGTACAAATCATTGTCCCTACTCTTCTTCAGGTAGTAGGCGACGCCGAGCTCCACTGGTGATGGCTCTCCCAAGCGCGTTTTCGCACGCACGCGATGTAAATCGCGACAGCGATGACATACGCGTTTGGCGTCAACGCATTGGTGCGATCCCGAAATGATCCAGGACGACCTGATGAAAGGATGGAAGGGAATCCTCCCTTCAACCTTGAAGATCTTCAGAGATCGCGGCAAGGCCATCAGCCGGGCGCCGTGACGGCCTAGTGTAGTCGAGGAACACCTCCGAGCGGATGTCGAATGCCTCTTTATTTAGCATATTCCTCGGAGGTGAGAACCGAATAGACATGAGAGCTCGTCCTCGGGGCTCCCCGCGAGGACGAGCTGGCTCCTTCCTCTGGCATGGATGTTGACGGTTCCATTCCAGTCTGCAACATCGAAGACACGGTCATTAGGCTTTGTGTTTGTCCCGTGCGGCGGCAAGGGACAAATACTAACCTAGCGGTGATTCAAGTGCCATCCACGGCTCGAATCAATAACGGCGTCGCGACTCCGGTGAAACACCGGAAGACCCAACGCGTGGTTCAACCAAACCAATGCAAAAAAAAAAAAAAAAAAAAGGGGAGAACTTACTCGTGGTATATGGGGCCGGGGCCAAACATCGTCCTGGTTGCTGAAAAGCGCCGATCGGGAGAGAATGATTCTGGGTTTGCCAAAGTTTATCACTCGAAGCGAAAGAAATCTCGGTGACCTCATCTGAAAAATACAAAGTTTTATATGGATTGCGAATCGACGGTTACCCCCCTTGGAACCGAAACGACAGTTCTCTCTCTCCGCATTAAATGCGCCCACAGTCGCATTAAATGCCGTTGAAAAGGGGCGTCGTCTCAAACCCACGTCGCATTAAATGCTGTAATAAGGGTTGTCGTTTCAAATGGTTACACAGTCAATGCCGTCAAAACGGCGTCGGGTCATCATACCACGCATTTAATGTGTCTGACAAGCGCTGTAACGCATGCAGAGCGCCTGACAGCGCAGAGCAGGGTCGTTGAACCTCAAAGGTACAGAAAGGAGGTCCGTCAAGTCCAGGTCGCTAGGATGAAGATTGTCAGGTCGCTTAGGCAAGGGATCGCGCGAGATCTGTTCGTGCGAGTCTTGAGACGAGCTCACCCCATCCAGGTCGGAGCGACCAAAGCCTCCAGTGTGACTTGAGTTCCAAGGCTCGTTCCACAAACCTTAAAACTAGGGGGGCTCTGTTATGCCCGGGAAAATAAAGGGCTGACGTGGGAAAGTCACGTCAAGGGTGACCTGCTCCCGTCAGGGCAACACGCACACGTCAGACCTGCAAATAATATGGAGCTCACACGCGTCCATTCCTCTGCAGCAAGTCGGGCGAAGTCAGCTTGGAAAAAGGAAAATGGGACGTTAAAGCCGGATTATATCCTGACACACACCAACCCATGGATTTAATGATGATTACACGCTTCAATTTGATATAAAATGAAAAAGACCTTCCATTAAGGGGATCGGCCATTCTTTACAGAAAACAACTCTCTCTCTTGTAAAAAGACACTTACTTTTCATAACTCTTATGTACGTCAGTCCGCTTCGCGACCTGACCACACTAATATAATACAATCAGTGGAGTAGGACTGCTACCTCAGCATCCGAACACTTTAAACGTCTTCTTTGCATTTATTTCACTATATATCCATTATCACGTGTATTAATTCATCAAATAGTGATACCCACGTGACAATTGGTTGGTGCCGAAAACCAGCATCAAACACTTCCTATGCAAGGTTTTTTTTTTTTTTTATATAAATATCAGGAGTTTTTAATAATTTTGAATAATCAGGAATTTTAGACTAAGTATATGGTTAAGGTGAATTGGAAATAATGTCGATAGATGCATGTTCGATTCACAAGATGAGCATCCGTGATTTAAATGTGGGGCCGTAACAATGAGTTGCCAAGCGAACATCCTCTACGAATTAATCAAAATACAGGTAAACTAAATAGTCAAAATACAGGTAAACTAACTGAATACCTTGGTTAAAAAAAAAAAAAAAAAAAAAAAAAGTCAGAATTAGCCTTTTAATTTACAAGTTTATGAGAAATCTTGAAAATGGCTGAAATCTACTGAAACGATGCAATTTTGGATCAAGAAGTTGCATTCTTTCATGTCTAGTGTCCTCTGAAGTGGGCTTCTGTGTTTTGGTATTTGTTAAACTTCTTACTCTGCATTCATAATCTTTTCAATCCCGGATGGCTGGCCTTTCTCGTAGTATGACTCTATTTCCTGAAGCTCACTCTCCATTTCCAGCATCGACAAAGAAAGGGTTCCTGTTCCTGATCCAAAACTTTAAAAACCGACAGAGCAACTTTGACACCTGAAACTTTAAAACAATAACAGTAAAGTTGTGGTGCATTCTTCTTGAGTTATTGTTAAAAAGAGCAATCTGTTATTTATGCGAAAGCAATGAATGTGAGCAATCAAGCGTTATACTTTTTGTACTTCTGTTCTAGAGATGAATGGAGATGTATAGCTGCAAAGTGAGCTAGACGGCCTTTTCTGGAAACAATTTGAGCTTCGGGCAATCGAAAGATATATTCTTCCAAGGAATTTGAGAAAGTTGATCCAAAGAAAGGCACTTAGCCAATGCGCACGTCAGGGCACGAGGACGCTGCCCCTTTGATGAGCCCGCGGAACAGTGGAAAGGCGACGATTGAGAGGCGGAGAGGGAACTCTCGTGCGCGAGACGGACGTTACGTTTAGATGCGAGTGCTGTACCCCTCGTCAGATGGCCAGGATCCGATCCGAAATGTAGAGTAAGTCTGAAAGCAGCGCCTCGTGTAAGAGGGCGAGTTGTCCCTCCTAGGCATCGCCATGTATGCATAAGGAGACCCTCGGACGCCCCAGTGTTTCTCTGGGTGGGCAGCATTTCTTCCGGTGAGGATTAATGTGGAATCTTTTAACCTCCCTTGAGGGAGGCAGATTGGATAATGGGCAGGTGTACCACGCCTATGTTAGCACATGATACACAGGGGAACATAGCACAAACGAGTAGTATGATATTAGTACAGCTGCGGTAAAGCCGATTATTAGAATGTTGACCATATGACAATATATTTGCCTTTGAAAATCCAAAATGAAAGGACATCATTCTTGCATGTTACGAAAATACAAACTATTAGCGTAACATCAGAGAGTAACAACAAAATATAACTTATCATAAGACAAATAAAGAGGGGAGAGAAACAAACATAGCTTGATACTATGATAAAGTGAACTTAGGCAGAACTTACTCCCAAAAGCTAAATCAAGAGAGGGGGGGGAGGGGGGGGGGGGGGGGTGGACTCCAACACTTCATGCATCATAACAAACGACAATTAAATCGATGTGGGACATAACAACAGTTCCAAACCTTCAATTGCTAGCTTTTCTTCGATATAGAGGAAAAAAAAGAAATAGATGTCAAAAGAACTCAAGCATACTGAGTTGTTCAAAGCCATAACAAGAAAAAAATTAATGAATGAACACAGACTACAGCATAAAGGTCACATACAAACCACTACATCACTTGAAAATCCTTTGCAATTCTGTTAAACTTGTATTGAAGTTCATTCTCTCAAGTTAATAGTTAAAAATAATCAAATTTTTAATATTGTTCAACGTTCGCTCCTAAATTCAAAGAACTCTACCTTTATGAACAAATTGAAAGGGCCTCGTTGCTGTCTTCTTGGTGTGGAGAAGAATCGAAAACTGATGGTAAGGGTCAATATATGAAGACGAAAGGAATGGGGGAATCATACGGCGATATTGTCCTCTATGCTTTTGCGATTTCTGGTTTAGCAGAGACAGTTGATGATACGGAGCTGCCAAAAGTGAGCGAGGCAGGCCCTTCTCTGGAAAGGATTTGAGCTTAGGACAATCCAAGAGATATAGCTCTTTCAAGGAAGGAATCTGTAACAATGAGGATCGGCTTTCCAAATTCGGAAAATTTAGAGAGGTGGGAACCTGTGGAAGAGACACCACGTCTGAACATCCTCCGTTAATGCAGGGTCTTCTAAGAGAGATGAGTCTGTGCAACCCCCACTCGAACATGGCTTACATATCTTAAGATCTTCTATTCCAAGTGATGTAAGGTTTGTGGGAAAACCATTTTCAGGGAATGACACAATACCTAAACATCTCTTTATCGCCAAAGATTGAAGAGAGGTTAGATTGTGCATGCAGGGTTCCTGTTCCTGATCCAAACTTCAAACTTCAAACTGTCGAAGCAACTTCGACACCTGAAACACCAAAATCATTACCAGTAAAGTTGTGGTTGCAGTCTTCTTGGACATTATTGTTAAATGAGCAATTTGTTATTTATGCGAACGCAAGGGACGTGAGCAATCTTGGACCAATATTTACTACCCTTTTTACACTTTTGTTCTAGCAGAGGACATTGGAAGATGTATAGTTGCGAAAGGGAGCGAGACAAGCCCTTTTCTGGAAACGATTTGAGCTTGGGGCAGTCGAGGAGATATAGTTCTTCCAAGTAAGAGAAGGTTTGATCAGAAAAGGATATGAATTCCAAATTCGGAAAGTTCCTGATGTATAAGGCGGTTAGAGAGGTCGGAACCTGTGGAAAGGAAACCAAGTCGGAGCATCCACCGCTGATGAAGAGTCGTGTAAGAGAGGTGAGTCTGAGCAATCCCCAATCAAAGAATTGCTTCAGGATCCTGAGATCTTCAATTTCAAGTAATTTTAGGTTGGTGGGAAAGCCATTCTCAGGGAAGGAGACAATGGCTGGACATCTTTTTATCTTCAAATGTTGAAGAGAGGTCAGATTGTGGATGACATTGGGCAGGGCCACCAGTTTCTCACACCCAATCATGCATATTTCTGTCAGGTTTTTGCAATACAACCCTCCTTCTGGAAAGGAAACAAGATTCGGACAAAGGCTTATAAAAATCTTTGACAGATGGCAGAGTTTGTGCAGATCATCAGGTAGAAGTTTCAGATTTTCGCACTGCGAAATCTTAATACTTTCAAGAGATGCGTTACTCTCAAATCTTTCAGCTATGGACTCCAGCTTCGAACATTTGACAACCTTGATATGTTGAAGTGTGACAGGTAACTCCCTTTTCGGCCACAAGTAAGTGAGAGATGAACAATCTCTAGTATCCAAGTACTCGAGAGAAGAGCTGCAAATTATTGGAGCTTCATCGTTATCGATCAGAGACCGTAAATTATGGCAGGATGTAATCTCAAGTCTCTTTAGACTCATAGGTAGCTGAATTCTGGCAACATATAGCAAAGAACCACAATATTTGATAGACAAACTTTCAAGATATGTGGTGGTGGTGGTACTCATCCATGCCCCAGGTAAGGATTTAAGTGCTTTGCATCCGCCAATTTCAATGAATCTTAGCTGCAAAGGAAGGCCAGTCTCTGGAAAAGAAACAAGTTCGGGGCAGTTTGATATACATATCTTTCTAAGAGAACTAATTCGGTGCAATTCTTGTGGTAGTTTCACAAGGCATTTGCAATCGCTCAATTCCAGATATTGTAGTTTACAACTACAAGCCACCCCTTGCTGCTGTCGATTTTCTTCTTCTGCGACCATGGAAAGAAGTTGGGGACATTGTTTTATTTCCAGTCGATGAAGCGGGCTAATAGCTTGGAGTAATCCAATTCCATTCTGCCATAGAAATGTTAGCTCTTTGCAGCCAACAATCTTTAGATGTTCTACTTTCGATAACCGTTGCATAAACTGCTCTACAAACACCTGACTCGAAATATCAGAAAGAACAACCGAGCTTAGTGAGGACAGGTTGGCTGCACTTCTCTGAACTATCTCTTTACATCCATCAATTTCTAACCTGTAAAGTGCAGGAAAAGCTGAAACTGGCACCAGCAATTTCTCACAATTTCTAACGACAAGCTTCTCCAATGAAGGAAGACATTCCGGCAATCTTCCTACGAGTTTAGAACAGTTTACAATTAAAAGCTCTTTTAACTGAGAGAAGCCTTCGGCTTCTAGACTTGGGCCGTAAGGAATCCATTCTTCCCATTCTTGCATACGCTNGGTAGGCTTACTAACACTTTCTCCACAATTCTTCTATCCGTCAATTCCACCCCAAGCAATCTAATTTTATTAACTACACTCATTAATCTATCAACATACTCCCTTACCTTTTCAGTTTCTTGCATTTTCAGCAACTCGAATTCTCTTCTCAGGTTCAACACCTGCATGCCCCTTGTTGTATCACTACCCGTATACTCTTCTCTCAACTTATCCCATGCTTCCTTTGGTGTTTCATACGCCATGATCCTTGTGAATACAAGGTCAGTCACTGCTGCATGAATATGAGAAAGAGCTCTCGGTGCTTTAGCAGCCTCTTCTTCATGCATCCTGATTTGATTCAGGGTGGGATTTGGTCCCAAGGGAGGCAATTGACGGTTCTCTTCCACGTACTGCCACAGACCCTGTCCATGAAGGAATGCCTTCATCTTGACTGCCCACATGTGGTATTGATCGCCATTAAAGACTGGAGGTGTGAGAGAAACTGGAGGTTGTGCCATTGAAACTGAAAGTTTTTTTTTTTTTGAGTTTTTGACAAAGAGAGTGACGAAACTGAGGTTGAAAGTGAGAAGAAAGAAGATTAATTATCAGGCTCTCTAAGATCAATTAAGGCTCTGATACCATTTGTTAGTTTTGCATGCAAACGAAAGAGAAAAACAGAAAACGAAAGAGAAACTCAAGACTGCAATAATACTCTGTTTTTGATTCAAAAAACAGGGGTAAAATATATACACGCCAACGTCACTGTTTCAACTAAAACAATTCAAAATTCAAATTTTAAACTAACTCCACCTACTAATACACTTACAAGCAAGAGAGAAACTACACTTAACCAAACTTAATACACCTAAACAAGTCACTGAACAAATCAAACACAGTGACCAAAAAAACTGCTTCTGCATGAATTACGGGAGATCAACAGGCGTTAAATTGCAGTTCAAAATTCTGCCACCTTTCTGCATTTCCAGCATGATATCACCTTTCAACAGTTTCAAATGTGGAGGAAGGTAATGGTAGCTTAATCTAAGAGCTGGTAAAATGCCACCCCCCTCTTCTGGTAAATCCCAAAGTTTACTATATAAAATATCTTCCCAATCATTGGGATCATATTTACCGCGTAACAAGCCACCAAGTGTTCTTGCTACCAAAGGCAAGCCATTGCACCTTTTCACTATATGCTCACCAATTTTCTTCAAGTTTCCGTGTTTGCTAAAATCTTGCATCCCCAATGCGTGTTGAGTAAACACACACAAACAATCATCATTTGACAATTCTTTCAACAGGTAAGTTGGAAGGGTTGCCACCATTGATGAAACACCTTGATTGCGAGTTGTCAAAATAATCCTACTTCCTGGATAGCTTGCCTCAAATGGACGACATAGGACAACCCAATTATCATAATTCTCACTCCAAACGTCATCCAAAACAAACAAAAACTTCTTTCTAAATAGTTTCTCCTTCAATTTCACCTGAAGCAAATTTAGATCACTATCCTCAACAGTCACATCAGAAATGAAACTTAGAATAGTTTTTGTTACTCTAACAACATCAAAATCATCAGAAACACAAACCCAAGCTCTAAGATCGAAATGCTCTTTCACTCTGACATCATTATACACAAGCTGTGCGAGAGTTGTCTTGCCCACACCTCCCATACCCACGATAGGAATAACATCGACTCCGTGAGACACATTTTCATTTCTCAACAACAATTGTATAATTGCTTCCTTATCCCTATCCCTACCATAAACTTTTGCTTCATTCACCAAAGAGGTTGTGGGTAAGGTCTCTCTAACTTTCCCTGACCTCCCCATTGAATTCTCATTCAAATCCAGGTTGTTTTTCTCTGATACAATATCTTGCAATCTGACAGAGATCTCCTCCATCTTGGACCTCACCATGGAATTGAACTTACTCGATCCTGGACTCAAACTGGTGCAACAAGAAGGAATAAGTTTATGTACCATACTTGTTCTACCTTCAATTTCAGCTTCAGGTTCAAGCAACAATTTCTTCCGCAAAGCTTCAGTTTCAAACTCATCCAAGATGTCCTCCGCATCGAAAGCCAAGTTCTGAAGCTCGCCGAGCCAGATCTTCACAGACTTCTTTGTCGTCTGTTTCTCCTCTGCATCTTCAAGAACTGCATGAATCTTCAACAATATTCTCTCCCACTTCATGAGATCACCCTGGATTTGTTCCTGGCGTGCAAACTGTAGCAGTTGAGCAGAAGTCAACTTCTTCAACAGCAACTCGACGGAGACACTTAGAATGGCCTCTCCAATGATAGACATAGTTCTTGTATTTTTTGCAGAAAAACAAAGGAATTATCGGAAAGAAGTTCTGAAAATATGAAGAAAAGTGAAATAGAGTGAACAAATATTTCTCAGGCGGCTTAAAAATATATTCTTAGTCTTTTTATTGTTTCTGTCACCATCTCTGTATACCTAGTCAAGCGCGCATTTGGAGGTTAGTGATCCCATGCAGAAAGTGAGGAAGCACTATAGATTGCACTAAGGGTGTCTTTACTCCCGAGAATACTGGATTACGGGATTATTGGAATCTTATATTACCTTAATGATTATTATAAATTTTAGGAAACTTTGTTTAATTTATTGACAGGTATGTTATATTAATATATTTGGTTAGGGAGAATAAATTAGTGGGTATGTTATTTATTTATTAAATTATCCTCTTTTTAGATATTAATATAATATTATTTTTATTATTAATTTTTGAATAATTTTTTTAACTCTCAATATTTCAGATTTAGCTAAAACACCTCCGTTTATATAAAACTTTAATTTATAACAAAATCACTCCCATCCTCTGTCACCACCGCAAACCACCGCCGAAAGTCTTCGAAAGTCGTCGTGAGTAGCTCACCGTGACCACGAGGCTTGGATATGGCCATTTCTGGCTATATTGATGGTCGAAAATAGTCATATCAAGCCAGATCTATTCCGCTTGGAATAGATCTGGTCATTAACGGCTAGGTCCATGGCGAGATCTGGCCGAAAATGGCCAGATCTAAATCTGGCCTGGTATAGCTGTTTTCGACCATCAATATGGTTAGAAATGACCATATCAAAGCCTCCTAGAGCCTCCCAACGAATCTCGGTCATTTTTAAAGACTTCGACGACTTTTCGGTGTCGGTTCGTAGTGGTTGGCTCGTTATCGATGGTGGCGGTGGTGGTGGTATGTAATTTGTTTTAAATATAAGGGCATTATTATCCAAAAACTTAATTAAATAAGGGTAAAATTAAAATAGTATATTAATGTAAATTTATTTTAAAACAGAGGCATTATTGTCCAAAATTTTTATTAATAAAGGATAGAATTGTAATAAAAATAAGATTATCAATGTAATCTTGTAACACCTAAGAAAATTGAGATATTTAAATTACCTCTAATATTACCAACAATAACAACTATCGGTAATACAAAATTACTGGTATCTTATATTACTTGACAACCAAACATGGTAATAAAATAATATAAGATGACATAACCCTAGTAATCTTCCATTATCTTCAATCAAACGCTGCGTGAAGATAAAGGGTTAAGGGAAATATCTATGTTATAGGTTTTGTTACTGGAACCCAGATTTATGTAACATACTGCACTATACATTGCAAGTTTTACTGTTCAGATTTTGGAATCTAAGGCATGTATCAATACAAATCTAATTAATTGGATGATCATAAAAGCGAGAAACAAAAATTTGCTGATATGCTCTGCACATCAAAAATTTTTTGTAAACAAAATGGACTAAAACTATACCCGTGGCTGCTAAGAATTTGTGATTTTATAAGTCTACGTCACAAAAATAAAATAAAATAAAATCCCACTTTTCAAGTTGTTGAAGTGATATAATGTTTGCATGTAGATTGATGCCCTCGTTCTTTAGGCTAACTTTTGGAAGAAAGGTTCCCAGTAATTAATGATAAACGTTACTGGATAGAACTAATTCTAAATGCTCTCTTATGAGAAAGAGAGAATCTAACCACATGTATATCAACCCACCAACTTGACATTGTTAGACAGATGCAACCCTCACACTCAGACATGCAAGGTTAGGTCCAAATCTATGATCACTTGTAAGGCTAGATCCAAACCTATGATCGCTTCAAATAAACGTGACTCTGATGCAATCCTATAATACATTATAGGGGCGTTTGGTTGGGGGGTATTAGAGATTACTAGGGTTAAGTCATTTTATATTATTTAATTATCATGTTTGGTTGTCAAGTAATATAACATATCAGTAATCTCCAAATACCAATAGTGGTTACTATTGATAATATTAGAGGTAATCTGATTACCTCAATTTTCTTAGGTATTCTAAGATTACCAGGGTTATCTTTTTTTATTACAATTATATCTCTTATTAATAAAATTTTAGGACAATAATGCCCTTATTTTTAAATTTATTTACATGAATATGGTTTTTACTATTTCACCCCAATTAATTAACGTTTTGGACAAAATTATTCTTGAATTCAAAACAAATTACAGCCCACCCAAGCCACCACCTTCAGCCACCTGTCGCTGGTAACCATCGCCGCGGCCACCGGAATGGCGCATGGAAGACCGAAAATGGCCACTATGCGTCGACATGGCCAGATCCGTCAAGTCTGGCCACTTCCGGCCAGATCTTTAGCCGAAAATGACCATACAGCGCACAAAGGACATTTTCTGCCTTCCATACGCCGTTAGGTTACCGGCGGCCTGCGGCCAACAGTGACTGGGTTGGTAGGGGTGCTTTGTTGATTTTTCAAACTTTTATTATGGGAATGTTTTTGCTAAGTTTTTAAATGTAGGGGGGTTATAATAATCTAAATAATAATCAATATTAAAAAATATTATAATAATAATATTTAATTAGAAAAAAATTCAATAATTTAAATAACATACCCACCAATTTATTCCTCCCAACCAAATATATTAACAATAAAACTATGCTTACTCACAATCTTACTAACCTCTTACTATCATGTGTAAATATAACGGCATAGTACGGGTACTATATGCATGGTCNTAGTTTACTTTATAAATTGGGACAAAGCCAATAGACTTTACATCCTTTTTCCACTTAATTTTACTTTATGACTTGTGTATGTTGTTTGACACAATTTGTGAGAAAAATTGTCAGCTTTTACCTGATGAGTTATTTTGGTGTCTAAAATAGTTGCTGTTGAACATCAAAGAACTTTTTTCTCCCCCTCTCTCTCTCTTGCATTTTAGATATGTTTCGTTCTATTGCCTTCTTGATTTAGCGTACCACAAGCAAATCGTGTGCCTCTTACTAATTATTTGGTCAATTTTCTTGACTAGATGCTCTGGGGAGGGAAAGACGCTTTCATGGATTGAAGCTTGAATGGGGTTTTGATCAATAAATTCCGCTTACAGTATTTAATGATGCTTCTAATGGTACCTTGTGGAGGACTCGTTCTTAGTTTTGCATGGAAACGAAAGAGAAAAACATATGAACAAAAGAGAAATTAGGGACTGCAATAATGCTCTGTTTTTTATTCAAAAAACAGGGGTAAAATATACACTGCAAACGTTACTGTTCCAACTAATAACATTTCAAAATTCAAATTTAAATTTACTACACCTACTAATACATGTACAAGCAAGTGAGAAACTACACTTAACCAAACCTAATACACGTAAACATGTCACTGAATCAATCCAACATAGTGACCAAAAAAATTGTTTCTGCATGAATTACGGAAGATCAACAAGCGTTAAACTGCAGTTCAAAATTCTGCCACCTTTCTGCATTTCCAGCATGATATCACATTTCAACACTCCTCCTTGATATCATTGCTGGAAACACCAAGTCTGAACTGAAGATATTCAAACTTGGCTAGGGACAACGGCTTAGATAGAATATCAGCGACCTGTTCTTCTCCCTGACAGTGTATCAACTCAACTTCATGATCTTGCACAGCTTCCCTTACTGCATGGTATTTTATCTTAATATGTTTGGTACGGCCATGATTAATTGGATTTTTTGCCATAGAAACTATAGACAGATTGTCACAGAAAATTACAGTAGGCTGTCTCTGAGTTTGGTTAAGATCATTCAAAATCTTCCTGAGCCAAATAGCTTGGTTCGCAGCAGCAGCGGTAGAGATGTATTCTACTTCTGCTGTTGACTGAGCTACCGTTGCTTGCCTTTTGGACAGCCAACACACAGCACCAGAATTTAAGAAAAATACATAGCCGGATGTACTCTTCATGTCATCTATTGATCCAGCCCAGTCACTGTCCGAATATCCCANATAAATATTCTATTTCAATTTTACCCTTGTTAATTAAAATTTTGGACAATAATACCCTTATATTTAAAATAATTTACAGACCACCACTCACCCAGCCACCACCGCCACTGCCACCCAGCCACCACCACCGGCAGCGGCCAACCACCACGGACCACCGCCGAAAAATCGTCAGAGTCCTTGAAAAGGAACGAAATTCCGTGGGAGGCTCCGGAGGCTTCGATATGGCCGTTTTCGGCCATTTCGATGGCCGAAAACGGCCATATCAGGCCAGATCTGGCAGGAAATGGCCAGACCTATTCTGGCCATTTCCGGCCAGGTCTGGGCTAGATCTGGCCGTTAACGGCCACGGACATGGCCGTTAACG